TTAAATAAAATTTAATAATTTATATTATATGTCACTATAATTTATATTTATATTTTTAATAATATATTAACATATATTAAATTTATAAATAAAAATAAATTTTAATGATAAATATTGTTATTATAGAATATGTATTATTATATGACAATTCTCTTATAGTAAATGAACGTAATTTTTCTAACTATTTTTTCATTTGTAATAAAAAATATATAAATATATTCATTAGTTTAATCATGAATATTTCACACTATCAATTTTTATTAAAGAAAAGATAAAAGGTTTGGCATTTTGTTAAAGTTTCATTTTAATTATTTTTTAACGCAAAATGCTGAGCATAAGTCATTATTGTGGAGGTGTGAAACATAATTCTTTAACAAAAAAAAAATATTGTGAAGGCATACACTTCATTTTGTGGTATGCATTGTTTGAAAGAATAGATTTAGAAAAGAAAAGAAAATGTTTGACGTGATAAATAATATCATATAAAAATGAGAGATTAAAAGAAATAAACTAGAAAAAAAATGAGTGTATACAAATATAAATATTGTACTTCATTAATATTTTTTTTTTCATTTGTTCATGTAAGACGTAATTGATGCAAGAAAAGAATAAAATTTGTTGTTACATTACTTTTGGAGTGCATATAATTTAGAGAAGATATACAAAAAAAAATGAAAAAAAGAGGAAATAAAACATAATAAGCTATGGCCTCTGCTACGTGTGAGCTTATTTGGCTCAAACAATTTCTTAAAGAACTGAGATTTGGCGAAGTTACACAGATGACTCTCATATGTGATAACCAAGCTGCCCTTCATATTGCCTCAAATCCAGTATTTCACGAGAGGACCAAACACATTGAAATAGATTGTCACTTCATTCGTGAGAAGATTTTATCTGGGGACATTACTTCTCAGTTTGTTAACTCTACTGATCAGTTGGCAGATATCTTCACCAAATCATTACGGGGTCCTAGGATTGATTATATTTGTAACAAGCTTGGTGCATATGATCTATATACACCAGCTTGAGGGGGAGTGTTAGATATATAGTTTTATCTTATAGTTTTTTTATCTTATGGGCCTAGGCCCACTGCTTTGTATTTAAACACATCTTTTGCTTTGCAATACACAAGGAATATGTTCTCTCCATTCACCATTACTCTCAACACTGATAAATAAGTAAAGGTGGTGGATTAGCGACTACCGTCGGAGTTGGAACATCAGGTTGAACATCCAAAGGAGGATGACTATCAACATACTTAGAGAAGAAAGGAGAGGACTCAAAGAAATAACGTCTGCTGAAACAAGGTACCATTGAAGTTGTGGACAAAAGCAACGATATCCTTTATGGAGATGAGAATATTCAAAAAAGACACACTTAAGGGACTATGTTGAAAGTTTATCTCTTCCTAAAGTGAGATCATTGACAAAACATGTACATCCAAAGGCACGAAGTGGAACAGGATAAAGGTCATGTTGTGGATACAAGATAATGTATGGAATTTGAATGTTGAAAACATAGAAGGGCATGCGATTAAATAAGGAACATGTAGTGAGAATCACATCGCCCCAGAAGCAAAGTGAAACTTTATGATGAAGAAGAAAAGTATGAGCTGTCTCAACCAAATGACTTTTTTGTGCTTAGTTACACCATTTTGTTGTGGTGTAAGAGCATAAGAGGTCTGATGAAGAATACCCTGTGAAGAGAGAAAATATTAGAATTTAGAAGACAAATATTCTTTAGCATTATCAGTGCACAAAATTTTAATTGATGTCCCAAATTGAGTAGCAATTCCAATGGAAAAATTTTGAAAACATCATAATGGTGTTTTATTAAGAAAACCCAAGTGTAATGCGAAAAATCATCAATAAACATAACAAAATAAGAATAACATAAAGTTGAACTAACTCGACTAGGTCCCCAAATATTAGAGTGAACCAGAGTAAAAGGTGACGTAGCACATATATTGACACTAGATCTATAAGACTGATGGGCATATTTTCCTAACTGACACGACTCACATTGAATGGATTTAATCGGAGAAAAACTAGGAACTAAGACGCAATTTCTCCAAGATGGGGTGATCAAGACATTGATGAGCAAAGATCGACAACTAGTGGAGACACAAGCAACTAGTGGTGAAAGATGATACAATCTCCTTAACTAATGTCTTGCTCCAATCGTCTGTCTGGTATGTCGATCTTGAAGAAGAACAAAATTATTAACAATCAAGACAGAGAAATTAAGGGTGCGAGTGAGTTTACTAATGGAAATTAAATTAAAAGGACAACCAAGAACAAACAATACGAAATGTAAAGAGAGGTTAGGGAGTGGGCGTGTATGTTCAATGTCATGAACTTTAATCCGAGAATTGGTTATTAGTTATATGATCAGAAGCACCGAAATCAGGAATTCAAGGTTCAAAAGGAGACTAAGAAATAAAAGTTACATGATTACCGAACTGAGTCACGGTAGTGATAGGCAAGGCAAATTGTTGGGCTGCCCGAAATTGAAAGAAATCATGATAGTCAGAGGCAAAAATAGTGACATTTGCAGGAGAGGCAACATTGGTCACTTGGGCAATGTTGGTAAATGTTGTGGACGAAGTAGAAGTGGGAGTAGCCATGGGAGATGAGGCAAAGAGAGACCAAAACCAAACAGGGTCAAGTAGAGGCCAAACAAAGCTAAACAAGGTCATCGAAAGCAGTCAACTGCTGCTAAGAGGTCGTCGAAAAATGACAACACATGCAGGTACTGCTCATGTTGTGGTACTATTCACGCACAGTATTGCTCATGCGTGGGGGCACTATTCATGCAGTAAAAATATTTTAAGCTCTATATACCATGTTGTGATTTAGGAATTGTGTGTCAATCTTCAACACACATAACTCTTTTTTATAATGAAAAAAATAAGGATTTTCATGATATGATATGATATAATTAGCTAAGATATGATTAACCCTAATAAATCTCCACAAAATCTTAACACATATGATGGAACTACTTGGAGAAGATTGATGTTTCTTCAAGTTGAACCATGCTAAGTCCCTTCTTCTCTTGAGGTTCTTCACGCCAATGGAAGATTTGGATGAGTTCAAGCTCCAAAAGCTTGAAGATGCTTCCCAAAGTGGTTCGGTTTCTCTTGAAGGAGAGAAACTTGACGAACCAAGCACAAAGGAGAAGTTCCTTTGTGAAACTTCTAGGAGAAGGAGATTCTCCACGAAGTTGGACTCTTGAAATGAGAGAGAATTTTTGAATTCTAAGTCTCATAAATGTCAAAAGTGATTACAAGAGTAGAAATTACAAATATATAGAGGTAGGTAGCTTAAGGAGCAAGCTAACCTTAACCATGATTCACTAGGAACCATGGTAAGGTTAGTTGACCTTCTAGGTGAGTTTAGAAACTTGTGGAGCAAGCTTCTCACTTAGCTTGCTTGGGAAGCAAGCTAAGGAGAAGCTTGTAGCACAAGCTTCTCATCTCCTTGAAGGTTAGAGAAGCAATTCGGTCAAAGAAAGGAGACTAGGCAAGGTGGGCGGATTTGGTCTCTTTTGGCTCCTTGAATTAATTTCAAAAATGTTTGATTTGGTTTAGTTAGGTTCATCCAATGATGATGAAACCTAGCTAAATCAAATCTATGAAAAATTAGGAGCAAAATGAGTCCAATATGTAAAATTTTGCCTAGGCCCAATTACTAGTCACACCCTCAAGCATTGCTAAATGCCACCCCTCTTTTCCTACTGAAAAAATAGAAAATGAGTGTATCAACAAAGGAGGTTAAATGGAGTCAAACTCTCCAAGTAACCTACCCTAGAATCAATATACAATGACTAATAAAAGAAACTAAAGTGCCTTAGAAATACAAAGGCAAAAATAAGCCTATACAAGAAAACTATGTACAAGATATTTACAACTAGAACTATGCCTTCTCTTCATGATAGAGTGGTCCAAATTGAAGAGTACCTTAGGCTTGGAAAGCCCACTGGTCTTCAAGGTGTCCACTGGTCTTCAAGGTGGCCATAGTTCTAGAGATTGGGCCCTTGGCCCATGGTCCATCATCCCATTCCTCTTGGTTCCTTCAATGTATCACCTCTTGGATTCTTTGGCCTTGGCCATAGTCTATCAACATACCTTTACTACTTTCACACCATTAGAATGGCTACTTCCACTCTAACTACTAAACTCAAAGAAACTAAAATATGGTGACCATTATAGAAAGTCAAATGGAATACATTTCAAAAAGGAACATGCCTCTAAATCCTAAAGGCATGGCCTAAAAACAAAGACACATACACCGCTAAATACAAGGATAAAAACAATCTACACACTTAACTACTATATACAGAGGAATGGAAAGCAAGTTATACAAAGTATATACAATAGGAGACTAAGCAACTATGAGGAGAACACATAATCTATGCTCATGATAAGCAAAAGTTTAAGAAGTACATCCTCTCTAGTAGCTTTCTGTAGCCTCCTAACCATAGACCTTGTCAAAGGTCCTATGACTTTCAAGGATGGTCTTCCATCACATTTGATCTGGTTGCTCCCAACCAATATACTCTAGATTAGGTTTTCCTTTATTGCGATCTAATTTGTTCTTGAATTGCAATGGAACGTTGAAGACGGTGTACCTTGATAACAAGTTCTACCTGTTGGTCTCGGATGAGAATTAGTCTCATCTAACTTAGTAGAGATTGCATGCGTAAAAGTGATTTGTGCAGAGGAAGGTGAAGAAGACGATGTCAACATTTGAGGATCTTTCAGGCTCTTGATACCCATTCAAGTGTTAAACATAGAGTGAAAAGAAATTTGAGAGAGATAGAGAGAATTGGAAAGACTTTTATGATATTTCTGAATTCTGTTTTTTATATACTTTACATCTTAATAGAACTGTCTTAATACAGTTACAAACAGCTGACAAAATGATACCAAAATAACAACCTGACAGTCAGTTAGAACTTAGAAATTGCACTCTTACAATGAACTTCACATCTTTTAGGATGTTGCTGTGAAGATTCTTAAAGTGCAAGGTTTTGATCATGAGCGATTTGAAGAATTTCTGAAGGAGGTATGCATCATTATTGTTTTTTATAATTTATATTTATGTTCATTTTTATATTTTTGAATTAGGTTAAGGAACAATTTTTATAATTTTTTGTTGTCCTCGTTGATCACACTTCATTCCTAGTTATTTCATAGGTCTCTCTCATGAAGCGTCTACGGCATCCAAATATTGTACTTTTGATGGGTGCAGTTATTCAACCACCAAAGTTATCAATAGTAACAGAATATTTGTCAAGGTACAATAATTTCCTGAAATGATGAAAATTGTGTTGCACACTTCTATGCTTAATTGAAAATGGTCCGGATAAAAAAAATGGAAATGATTTAAACCTTGTGATATTCTTATGCAAATAGTTTTCTTGAATTGCAGAGGCAGTTTGTATGAACTTCTCCACATGCCCAATGTTGGATCATCACTTAGTGAGAGACGTCGTTTAAGTATGGCTTATGATGTGGTATATCTTTGGTGATTAAAACTGCTAGTCTTCCTATTTGTCTTTTTAGGCATCATGCGGACAGTAATACTCTCAATAAGACAAATGTTCATGTTTGTCCAGGCAAGTGGAATGAATTATCTTCATCAAATGAGACCTCCCATTGTTCATAGAGATTTGAAGTCTCCAAATCTTTTGGTTGATGATTCATACACTGTTAAGGTAACTGTTACTCCATTAGAATATCTGAAAAATGTCTTCATATTATTATTCTATCTTAAAATATGTTGATCTTATATGATATCTTGGGAATGGATTTCATATTTCATAACATGTTTTGTTTTCAATTAGAATTGACTGTTTAGTATTAATATAATTAGGGTTAGTGCTTTGTCTTTTCGTTTGTTTTACATCTTATCATCAAATCAATATCAATAGCATATTATTTAGTCTATAATATGCACCTTTCTTTCTCCCCTATCTAAACTTCTATAATTTCAACATGTTATCAACTATGAAGGCAACAAAATCCTCCATGATTAGAGAGAATAAGTAGAGTTCCTCTTTTAATATATAAAATAAAATAAAGGTCACTCTGTTATTATACATAATTCTTTCTGTCTATAAATTATGAGCTGGAATTTGAGGATGTATCCCTTAACACGACAATTGATGGCTGAAAGGTTATTCTAGTTGTTCCACATTTGGCAGTAACTATTTATTAATGCTTAACAGTGTTTGGATTGCTATTACTTGTTGAGCCAACACCCCACCCTACCTCACCCGATCCCATTCCTCCCAAATAATGAATGTTGCTTAGGCTAGCTATTCCCCATACAAGCATTCACAAACTCCTCACATGCAAATTTATGGATATTTGACTGTAATGATTATTATGTGTTGTTGATCATTTTGATTAAAATATTTACTTCAGGTGTGTGACTTTGGCCTTTCACGTACAAAGGCAAACACGTTTCTTTCATCTAAAACAGCAGCTGGGACTGTAAGTTCTATTTATTAACTGAAAAAACAGTCACAAGTCACGATTTTGTTAAATTTTTCTTATGTATAATAATTCTTTGATGATTTTTTTTAAATTCTTTTTTGAACATGATCAGCCTGAATGGATGGCACCCGAAGTCATCCGAGGTGAACTGTCAAATGAAAAATGTGATGTATTCAGCTTTGCTGTAATCTTGTGGGAACTAGTGACCCTGCAACAACCATGGAGACTATTAAATCCTTCACAGGTTATTTGATTAACCACAGTGCTTTGGATTTAGATATTTCTAGAGTACTAGATTTTGTAGATCAATGTTTTAAAAACCAGTTTGGACCAGCTGGCTGAATCTGTTGATCTGGGAATCGATGATTCAACCAGTTTGAGCCCCTTATTGGATCATTCATTTACAAAATTAAAAGATTATGATAGATATGAGAATTGAAACCATACAATTTGGATACAGAAGAGCTCAATAACCACTACTCTCAACATGGTTCACTATTATATATATGACTAAAATATATTTCATAGTATATCTTTATTATAATATATATATATATGTGTGTATGTGTGTGTGTATAAAGTATTATTGTAAGACTCCTTGAGGTCCCAAGTTGATAAAAAAGAATAATTGTGTAATTATTGTATATTATAGGATTATTAGGACAAATTCTACTATTCGGATTCGGACAGGTCAGATATTCAGTGCCTTTGATTTAGCACTATTTTAGACTAGTTATTTCCCTAATTATTAGAAATAATTGAGTAAAATTCTAAAATATGTTAGTAATTCGGTATCTATTAAGATATCTCACAACGGCTGGGAATATGGTAAAAAATAATTTGAAGACATGGAAAGACAATCATCCCCTAGCTAACTTTTGAGATCAAATTAGGCTCAATCTATTTCTAATATGATATTAACGTGCATCTAGTCCTAATGTTGGGTCAGCCCCCAGCAAATTTCACTTAAGAATCTAGATGTCTATCCTTGGGCATGAGGCAGGGGCATCTTTAGATCATCCACATTGACATGTGGACCAGGAATATGGCCAAAATAGGTTTCATAAGACTTGGAAAATTCTCCCTCTTTAGTTAACTTTTGAGGTTATGTATGCCCAGTCTATTTTTTATATGGTATCTGGAGCCTATCTATTCCTATGTTAGATTACCTGCATATGTCTAGTTGATAAGCACCAAGCACTTGGGAAACTTTCCCTTAAAAATTATTTGTAAAGAGGGGGAGAACCAAGTCACTTTAAGTACTCCAATAAGCATCCCATACTATTCCATTTGAGAATTAGGCACCCTATAATATCCAAGTCCCTATCATAACACTGATCTTGAGAGTTGAGGTATTGGCTGCTACACTCTATGGTGCTTACCTCAACCTTCCTGATCAGTCCCTTCATGAGTAGCCCTTTTCGAGATGTCAATCAGCTTTGATACCAATTGATAAGCACCCAATCACCTGGGAAACTCTCCTAGTTGTTAAGGGGGAGACCCAAGCCACTTAAGTACTCCAATGAGCATCTCATATATTACTCGGTTTGAGACTTAGCATCCCATAATACCCAAGTCCCTATCAATAGTCCTACAAATTTCATGCCCATTTTGGTGTGATAAGACTTGGTTTGTTGCATGGGTTTGTTAATTATACTCTAGCAGAAATTGCAAAATTAAAATTGAGAAAGCAACATTTAAAATAAAAAATAAAAAATAAAAAAAGTGATTAACAATGCTCTAGGAGTGATAAAAGGATTATCTTTATTGTTAAAAAGTGAAGAGAATTTTTCTGAATGTGCTTGAGCTACTTTTTCAATTAGCAGATTGATTTACTTATAATAAGAATGGTTACAAAGATAATAAATAACTGCAAGTATTTTTAAGAGAATAATTAAAATATGCAACTTCTAGTGTTGCCTTACTTTTGTAGTTTTTCTCCTTGATCTTATTAATTTCTTCTTTTAGAAAAAGAAAATGTTATTCCTAAGCTGAATAGTTGCTTCCCAATTTTCATATACTAATAAAATTATGTTATTTGCTTTAATCAAGCATTTTCTTGGCTCTATTCTTTCACAAGCTTATCTTGCATACATCATGTTTTATAATATGCATCAAGTGGCTTTTAATTTGATAATCTGAATGTCACTAGTGTAGGTTGTTGCAGCAGTTGGTTTTATGGACAAAAGGTTAGAGATTCCAAGACAAGTGAATCCTGATGTGGCTGCCTTGATTCAGCTCTGCTGGGCAACGTAATTAAATTAAATAAGTGATTTTGATTCTTTATTTTATAGATTAAAATTCTGGGTCATGGTTGTTGAGTCCTAGGGTTAGGATAGTACCTCAATGCTCAAGTACTTATAATGAGTAATTACAAATATACCCATCAACAATAGCCCTGGTAAGATTGAAACTCCCAACCAATGTAATTAACACAATTGGTTCTTACCATTTGTGTCAGCCATGTTGACCAACTAATTTTAGTTCTTTGTTCAACATATTCTGATTACACTCATTTCATTTATTATCTGTTGGTTCTGTAGGGAACCCTGGAGACGACCTTCTTTTTCTTATATTATGAAATGTTTGCGGCAAATAATTGTTGATGCTGAAGGGTGAATAAGTTCATGCTGATATACAGAAGACAAATAGCAATATTGAACAAGGAAATAAACGAGATTACAATTTATTAAGGTTCTTTCTAATTTGAGTTTATCTTATGTGCTTCATTTTGTTATTTATTTCTGTTGAATGTAATACATAATTACATATTTAATCTTAAATTCAAAATCATCTATGAGCATACTTTGCAATATGCAATTGAATTGAATCATTCATTATTTACTTGAGCTCAAATCTCTAGATGTTTTTCCTAAACTTGGGCTTATATATTAAAAGAGAAATTAGAGTAGCAGGGTAAGAAAACAAAACTTAAATGTTGGATTAAGAGGCCGTCAGTAATGACTTTATTAATTAATGGTCATCCACTAGTTTCTTGTGTCAAATATTGTCTTAATTTATATTTAATAAATTTCCATCATTATCGTAAGGACAATGACAGAGTCAAAAGATTTAAAGATTTAAAGATTTCTGTTTGAAATACTGTAAATAAGGAAATGAACTGTATTTATATATATATATGGTAATTAGGGTATCAATTATTCTTTGTATTAACATTTAGGTTTCAGTCTTATTCAATGAGTCTCTCCTGAATTATGGTAGGATTTCCCGAAATTTGTGATGATTTTATAATGAATTTTAAATAAGAGTTTCTGCCATGTTACCATTAAGTTATGCTAGAATATATACTCTAAATGAGGCCGGATTTCACCGCATGTTTCTTTTTCTCTCTTTCAACCTTTTGGGAGAGCATAGGAAGTTAATCATAATCTCTTAATACTACCCCACATTACATTAATGTTAAAAATATATATACTGAATATGATTTTCCATCATAAGATGTCATTTATGGTATATCAGATGGTTAATTTGTGTATATGTTTGGTTTGACAGGACTTTGTTGTTGCTGAAGAACTAAACCGTATCGTTTTATAAAGTAACCTGCTACCAACTTTTGTTGCATGTGTTATTTATATAATTATTATTCACACCATTTATGACAGGTCTGGAATGTGATTAGAATGTATGATTCTGGAATGTATTTAGAACTTATATGTATATTTTTATCTTTTATGAGTCTCATTCCTATATTAATTTTGCAAACAATTTAGTTGAATAGGCCATTTAAAAAACTGTTTTATAATGTTCAAATTCCTAGTTTTTATTTTTTAAAAAAACTATGAATATGTTCAAAGGTAGAGTTTTGTGGCTCAAAAAAGGATTATATCCGATGAAGGATACTTATGGTATAGATTATAAATAAATTGAAATTTTTTTATTACAAAACTATATATTATGATTTCATGATAATAAGATTTGAAAAATTCATTCAATTCATTATGGTCAAATTACATATTAAATGTTATACAAGTCCTTTTAAGTGAAGTAATTTGAGAAGAACATAGAAAATTTTACTTTTGAAAAACTGAAATGATATATATCAATATCAATTGAAAAATTAGTTAATAATCTCATTTTATTATTTCACTAATGGAATGTTCAATTAAAATGTTTTTTAATATATTTTTTTTCAGGATTTATCAGTCAAAATCTGAAATTATTTAGTTTTTTTATTTATTTCTAAATTAGAATAATTTTGTATGTAACAATTAAATTAGTAAACAAGTGGAAATTAGGGGGGGAAAACTCTTAAATTTAGTGGAAAGTTGTGATTATAATGTTATTGCCTTCAAAAATTGACTCAATATGAAGAAAATTTATGATTAAGGAAAAATATCACTCCTCATCACACTGAAATTTCATCCTCTTGATAAATAAGGTTACTTAGTTGTTTGTTGGGTGTAGTGACGGAGAAGGTAAAGTTAAGATAACACATATAAGCGAAATTATACATAAATGACAATTATAATTAGTGCATTAATAACATATTCTTATTATACATGATTTATAGAGGTGTTACAAGCTATTAAAAAAATTTAAACTAGGCATATGTTATAAAAAAAAAATTAAACTAGTGCCTCAATACGAGATAGCGACATTAGTCTAAAAAAAAATAAATAAATAAATTGTCCCTCAATTAAGTATAATATCACTTAAATAAATTTAAAAATAATCAAGTGACGTTGAAACCGAATGTATCAAGAGTAATCTTGCAGGTAGTCCCAACATCAAGATAACGGCACCACGCGTGAAATGGATGTCGGCGAGAAGGAGTGGATGAAGAAGGTGAATTTGGTGGGGGTGGTGAAGCATAGCACGCCAATCCTGTGAGGTTAGTTGGGTATTGCGCTGAGGATGAAAAAGAGAGGGATTCGGAGGCTTCTTAATTAGGCCAAGTATGTTGGGCAGAAAATAGGGAATTATTTTGAGGCTGAGGCTGAGGGCATGGTATAGAGGCAATGTGTTGTATGAAGTGAGTGAAGTGGGCGTAAGATGATCCATTGCTCTGTTTCTGATAGCCTCTACTTCTTCTTCTACCATTATACCATTGAGTGCCTCGCTACTCGCTGCTTATGCTTATGCTGTCTCCCACAACTCTAACCATTTTCTGAATGGGTGATATTTATACATAAACAACATTACTAGTGCACGAGGGATGCAAATTTATTATGCATAATATCCGCATACACAAAGTGTGACTAAGATAATATACACATTTACAAACTGTAACTTAGATAAAGACACATGTAATGTGCTTTATTTTGAGAGATAGTCAAATTTATTATAGATGATAAATTGCTGAAAACACACGCGATCAGTATATATTTGGATTACATGTGGTTAAAAGTGACATGTTATTTGGCAAAACAATCCAAATTTGTATTTTGTTAATTCCTTGCGTAGGTTTACTTGGCATTATATTTGAAAGAATAAATGGTCTTTAAAAAAAATGTGAAGCTTTGACCCTTATTCTAATTACATTAAAAAAAATCACCTTAGTTCTCTTAAATGCAATGGTCCACAAGTTATATATTGAAGTGCAAAATGATACCATGAATCAAACTGGAATCTGTGAGGTCTTCATTCAAAGGATAGTATATTTACTACAAAGATATTGGAGGTCAACAAAGGTAGTCATTAACATCTAAAATATCTCGATCAACTATCAACAATTAATTACTTGTAAGGAGACAATTCATAAAGGCTATTAAAGGCTGAAGACGCCAGTCCTAATCAAATTAAGTATATAAAATAGGACAATTTTAAGTCCAATTACAACCCACCAATAGATTCTTGGTCCCAATTCCCAAATTGTCTCACAGGACCTCAGCAAATTTGGACAAGAACAATAACCACCCAACATTTAAAAACCATTCAAGACAAACACCTAAATCCTATTTTTAATTTTTTTTTTATCAATATAGAAGAAAAGCACAGAAAAGAATTCACAAGAATAAAGGAGCAATAATTCTTCATTGCGTGTAAACCTCATCATTTCAAATACCATAGTTGGGGAATAAAACCAGTGAGGGCATGGAGAATAACAAAAAAAATCTGTGCCAAATTTTTAATATCCCAATCAACAAGATAATGAAGCTTTAATAGCTAGGACTAAGGGCACGGAGAATAGTAACAATTTTAAGTACTTTTGGCACAAATGCAATACTCCACAATTAGTCACAATAGTTTGATAAAGGCTTATCCACAATTAGCCCAGATACTTGGTATGACACAGATTCCGGTATAAGACAATTTTTTTTTTCAAATTTAAGACACGATACTTGTGTACAAAAATAATAAAAAAAATTGGCAAAAATAAATTAGAAACATCCTAAACATATAAGAAACAGCAGAATCATAGACTAAAATCTAAATATCATTGTTCATCAGTCTCATAATCTCATCACATAAAATCATAAACATAACAATTAAATGTTTCCATCCTATGTCTAGGGAAGCATGACCTTGATTTTGGGTGCTTGCTTGACACTGTCCTATAGGCGAAAAAATAATTGGGAATAACATTATATTTTAATAAAGAAACAGAGAACAAAAGAGCGGTGAATGCCATTTTGAAATTATAAAAACAGAGTACTAAACATTGAAGAGATGAAGAACTATAGCAGTCAGTGTCACACATAACAAGAAGCAAACAAAACAAAAAGGCAGAGGATAAAAAGGCAAGGAACATCTGAAAATGTAGAACAGATGTAGAACATGTAGAAGAAAGAAAGAAATGGAAAGAATAAAAAGAAACTGTTCTATCTCATTGGCATTGTTTGCCGGAGTTCAGACCATCAGTGAGGAGGGTGGCTGGAGAGGGGTCAGTGAACTTGACTAGTGGCCACAAATATGGAGGTTAAACAGAGAAAGAAGAAGAGAAAACTTGGGTTTCTTTATAAATATTACCGAGAGCCGACAGATGGAGAGAAAAGTGTACGCGATATTTGGGAACTCAGAAAAAATCCTTAAATGGGCTTTTTAAAAAATGAAAAAAATAAATATCCACCATGACCGCCATAAGCTGCGATGGTGTATGGACATGACAGATGCCTCAAACCGCCACACTATTCCTTTATGATGGCATCATAATGGCTTTTTGACAACACTGAATGATCACATTCAACAAAAAGATATTTGTGATCATAACAAAAAAATGCAGTTTCTTCCCTAGATCTTAACCAATCTTAGTTAATTATATCAATAAAAGCATCTTTGGTATAAATTAAAACAAATATTGACTCTACAATAGTCTATGACTCAAAAGCATTATTACTAAATTATTGTCTAATGTTAATTGTATCCCTCCCCTCTCCCCTATTACCGCCGTCTAGAAAAAGTAGACTTCCAAGTCTGGTCAATCAAGTCATCAAGAGACAACTTTGTCAATTCAAGAAGTCTAGCACCCCATCATCAAGTGGATGATGTATATCTCCACTAATGTCCCATAACTATGTCTCTCCTTTTTTATACCCTTAATCTTTCATTGATAGAAGTTGAAGATTGCAATGCATATAAACCAAATGTTCTACCCCCTTCTTGATCCTTTTTATTTTCTTCAAAGAATGACTAAAAGAGTATGTACTCCAATTTCTCTCTCAGCTTGAGGAAGTACAAAACAAGTATCTATTCAAGTAAAAAAAAAATGTTAAAAAACAAGTAAAAAAATGGATACTTTTCGGATATGTAATCAGAAGTATCTGAGGAAGTATCCGAAGACACAGACCGGGCTTCATAGCTTAAAAAGTCATTCATACAAAATCCTAAAAGAATAGTTGTTTCATTATTCAGAGAAAAACGTTACAAAAGGAAAAGAAACAAAAAAGCAACAGAAACACAAGAATAACAGAATTAGCTTACATATGAACTTCATTCTATTCAATGACACAGATTGCAAGAAAAAATCAAATAAAATTTCCAGAGAAAGCAAAAGAGGTAAAAAAAATTTTTTTTTTTAAATATTGCACTACACAACATAATAATGAAGGCAAGAATAAATTAGAGAAGGGTGATGAAAAGAAAAAAGAATAATCACAGCTACACAAAATGAATCAATTCTCTATTACATATAAATATTCTAAAAGACCACATAACTGGTTCAAACAAAAACAAACAATTCCAACCCGCACAAAACTCGAAAAAGAAAGCTTCCGATCAACAAAGGCCAGAAGCAATTCAGCCACAATAACAGCTATGCGATACCCAATTAATCAACAATCCATCATGTTACAGGCAAACACCATTACTGGTAAACAAAACCAGACAATTCCCCCAACCAACAATTACAAATATATGCATTTACACAACAACAACAAAAAATTGAAAACCAAAATAGAAATGTCCTATAGTGGTGGAGATGATCAAGAGGAACTAAAAGCAATCCAAAGAAGGGTAATGACAAATAAATGACGAAAACACCCATAAGAACAACTACGCTATACCCAACTAAACAATTTTCCACCACGTTACACATGAAGAGTCTAATTTCAGTAACTGAAAGTTCTTAAGAAAGTGGTTATACGTCTTACTCAACTCTACAAAATCAAAATTTGTAAGTTGAGTTTTACTCCTCACTTATATACACTAATTTGGTCATACCACTAGTGTATATGAGATCTCCAACACACATCCTCACATCGAGATTTGGACACCTTGAACATAGAGTTTACAAAACTGGACATCAGCGTAATGGCAGGAGGCATGATAAACCCAATAATCACCAATTTTTGCTAAGACACAAGTTTTGTCATAGCACTAGTAAATGCGGAATCTCCAACAAAAGTTAATAATTACAACAAAACAGATTACTATCAATATAGTTAGTCCCAAGAATAAAGGTCTAATTAAGATACGGTGTGAATTTTCCTCATTATCATCCTATCAAACACTATAACCGGTACACAGTAACACGGACTCCCCATCACATTACACTACAGATGAGCATCACCCTATCATAACAACACCATAACCCCCAACCCACAATAACAAAAACCATGTATATATGCAAAAAAAAAAAATAATAATAATAATCATAAAAATTGCAGTATCCATCGATGGTGGAGATATTCTTGTTTTGGTTCACCAAGTGCATCATCAATTCAAAGAAGGGCAATGAGAATAAAAAGAAGAAGAGCAGCGATGAAAGAGTACTTGAGGGCAGCAACGAGAATGGCGAAAGAGATGAAGAGTAGCTGCCAGAGGACTTGCACGCTGGCCCAGGTGAGAATACCCGTTAGGCCAAGTGCGAGGACGTTGTCGGGGTCAGGGTCCAAAAGGGTGCTCCAATTGAAGCCCAAAATGGGTCGTCGTTGTTTGCCCCAATCGTTAACCTTTTCCTCTTGTTCGTTGGAACCATTGGGTGGTGCTTCTTGTTGTTGGGTCTTTCCCTGTTCCCTCAAGTCGTTGTTGTTGTTGTTGTTGTTTGCGAATGCTACAATTGGGGAGAGAAAGAGAGGGTGGGGTTTGAGGGGAAGGGGAGAAAGGAAGGGCAAAGAGTGAGAGAGGGGAATTGAGAGTGAGAGTGAGAGTGAGGGTCTCAACCACATCCACATTCTGGGACTTGGGAAATGGGAAACAAATAGTGGCGAAAATTGAAATCAAATACTCTAATCCTCTTAGTTCTGTGGTTTTCATGTGACTATGCTATGAGCCGCCACAGGTGGCAGGGAAACTCTTTGGGGGAAAATGATTCTTTAACACGCCTTAGCCTCTTCATATTCAGAAGCGTGGGGATAAATAGAGATTTTTATTTTTCTACACCAAATGAACATAATGGTTAGAAAAATACTTTCGGAGATTGATTTGCTTGAGTTGGGACTTTAAAAGGATCATAACTTATTCATACTCGATCAATATCTATTCATTTTATTATTTTTTTATTTTTTTAAAAAATAAAATATTCTCTTTCTTACTAATTAATGATTAATTATCTATATTTTACATTAGCAGTGTATAAGTGATTAACTATTAATATTTTGTGACTAGTAAAATGATAGATGAGAGATTACGTTCATGACTATTGAATAGGTAATCATTGACATATTAGATATTTTTAGATTAAGTATTATTGTTTACTTAGCTTAGTGATTAGTCGAAGTCTAGTAATTTTCAATTTGACCATATTTTTGTTGGGATTCATCCCAAGTCCCACATCGGTAAAATGAAGGAACATTGGCTAGTTTATAAGTGTCTACCATTCCACATAGTATGAGGCCTTTTGGGAAGGAGCCCAAAAACAAAACCGTGCGGGCTTGGGCCCAAAGCGGACAATATCATACTATGATGGTGGAACAGGTGGACTAGCGGGCCCTACAAGTGGTATCAGAGCCAACGGTTCGTCTGGGTTTGATGCGGGAAGACCCTCAGTGTTGTGCCTCGCGATGGAGATTCGAACTTGGTGCCTTGTGTCGAAAGTCTTCCTGATATTGTGGTGTTCAGGCGGCGTGTCCCGTAGAGTTAACGGCGGTACAAGATGGTGACGGATTATCGCTTGAGGGGAGGAGATCACGAGACATGTGGTCCTTGGTCTGAGGGGAGGTTTGTTGGGATTCATCCCAAGTCCCACATCGGTAAAATGAAGGAACATTGGCTAGTTTATAAGTGTCTACCATTCCACATAGTATGAGGCCTTTTGGGAAGGAGCCCAAAAACAAAACCGTGCGGGCTTGGGCCCAAAGCGGACAATATCATACTATGATGGTGGAACAGGTGGACTAGCGGGCCCTACAATTTTATGAAGAGATACTTTGTCTACTTTTGGTTGTCACATTTTACTAACTCTTATGTCCCATGAGTTATAAAGAAAAAATCAAAAATTAAGAGTTTTTTAATAATTACCATTTTCTTTTGGATAGAAGCCACAAAAAAATTGAAAAATTGTCTACTTCTATTGTCTTTCTTTTCTATTTTAAACTAAAAAAAAACTTAAAATGGATCCAAAAAAGCACAAGTTGAAGCTTGAAAGGGGAACCCAAGCGATAGAGTTGGAGCCACCGAAGTACTTCATCAAAGGAAATCACTTCCTTTAAGCTACACCACTATGACCCTAGCAACTTTGCTTATTGCATGGAACCCAACTTTAGAAAGGCATGGGTTAACTCACTTTTAGCCCTAGCTCGATGATAAGTTTCAATTTTCCTTAAAGAATATAACCTTCTTAGCATTTATTTAACTAGGTTCAAACAGAAATTTACTTTTAATCTAAAAATATTATAAAAATCAAAAGGATGTGTAAAAAGGTTAGTATGAAGGGTTGATTATTTTTTGGCTTATGAACCTCATTTTTTCTTGCAGGTTTGATTAAGTCCTAATTCCCAAAGGTCCTCAAATTTATGGAAAGTGTTGAACTAAAGCAAATTTTGCACAATAGAACTTGAGAAAAAACAAAGGAGAGTTATTGTCGTGATTTTGCTCAACCAAATAAAAAATGGTTGAGTAATATTGATCTAGATAGCAAAGTAGATTAGTGGCAAAAAGGGATAAGTGAGATCCAAAAAGGCTCAACAAAATAACTTTCTTCTACCTAAAGAATTTGCATTCCACTCAGCCAATCATAAAGTGTTTAGAATCATAAATTGCTTAGTGGAATTGTTTACTTAAGTCATGCTCTATTTTTAAATTGACATATATAAAAGGAGAATTAAGAAGAAATAAAGTGTGTGGTTGGTTAGAGAACAAAGAACAAAAGGAAGGAAACATTTCAAGATCTCGATATCTTGGGTTCATTCTCTTTTCTTATGCTTTCATCATAAAGGAGATTGTTCTCACCATGATGAGTAGCTAATCCTTCTCTTTGTTGGGATTGAATGTAAATCTAAACTCTTTTGAAATCCATTTGATTTATATATATAATTTCCTATTATTTAGTGTTAATTATTTGATTCGGTGCTTAAAGCTTGAGATAAATTGATCACCCATCCTAAGATTTAAGATTTAGATTTTGATTGAAAAATATTATATGAATTGAATTTGAATCAAACCTCCAAATGATTCTAAATGCTAGGAATATATATAGAATTGTTTGGATGAGAAATTTTACAAATTCAAGAAATTTTAAATTCTTGGTATTTGAATTACTTTGATTTCAATTTGTATCATTCTTAAAATATTTTGTTTGGATAAGTCAATTCAAATTTCTTAAATTTTAAATTGTTAGGTTGGATATGATAATTTGATTCCACCATGGTAAAATTGATTTTAAAAATATATTTATATGTTGAGATTTTTAAATTAGATTTTATAAAAATAAATATTGGCTAATTTTTTAATATTTAATAATTTTAAAAATTAATATTAGATAATATTTAATAATTTTAAAAATATTTTTGAATATTCAATAATTAAAAACATGAAGAGATAAGAGATAAGATAAAATATATAAATGAAATAATAGTGTGTTTGGATGAAGAATTTTACAAATTCAAGGAATTTTAAATTTTTGGTATTTGAATTACTTTTATTTCAATTTCTATCATTCTTAAAATATTTTGTTTGGATGAGTCAATTTAAATTTCTTAAATTTTAAATTATTAATTAAATATGATAATTTGATTCCATCATAATAAAATTGATTTTAAAAATATATTTATATGTTGATATTTTTAAATTAAATTTTATAAAAATAAATATTAATCCATTTTAAAATATTTAATAAATTTAAAAATTAATATTAAATAATATTTAATAATTTTAAAAATATTTTTGAATATCCAATAATTAAAAGAATGAAGAGATAAGATAAAATATATAGGTGAAATAAGAAAACCAAATATGAGGAATTTCAAATTCTCCCATTTTTGGGAGAATTTGAAATTCTACTATTTTAAGAAATTTCACAAATGCTTGAATTTTAAATTCTTTGTAAATTCTCCATCCAAACAAAGCATTTCACTTCAAGAAATTTGAAATTCTTCAAATAAATGAATTACCCTATATAAATTCCCCATCCAAACACACCATAAGAAAAAAAATATGAGAAATTTCAAATTCTTAATTTTTTGGGAGAATTTGAATCTCTACTATTTTAAGAAATTTCACAAATGCTTGAATTTCAAATTCTTTATAAATTCTCCATCCAAATAAAATATTTCACCTCAAAGAATTTAAAATTCTTCAAATAAATTAATTATTTTATTTAAATTTTTCATCTAAACACACTATTAGGGTTTTCAATGTTAAGAGATTGACTTGGGATGATTTAAAGAATTTAATAACATCGAGTTATAGGAATTACATGTAACGAATTTTAAGATTGCAAAGGAATATGATAGACAAAATTCAATCCCAACAATCGTTCTCATTGACTTCTTATAAATTTTACACTTGTGTTCTTATATTTTCTTGTTTGTTAGTTTAATGTTCAAACTTCAAAACAATGAGCTCGCATACAATTGTAAATTATTATTTCACAAGTTTTAATTACGATAATAAAAAATATAAAATATTTGACAAGTTCCTAAGGATATGACAACTTGTTCTTTAATCATATTACAATTGACTTGGTACGATTTCCAAATTATCAACAATCAATCCTATAATTTATGGGGATCATGTGGTCTAAGGGCTAAAAAACTCTCATGCATGTGTGAATGGGTTGAAATAGAAGGATGGGTGGCCCTAAGGTCGAGGACTGATTTGACATGTCTACATATGGATCCATTTGGATCAACTGAAATAGTAAGTCTTGGTGGTAAGATATATGAATTTGTCATAATTAGGGATGTCATAAATATCTATCTCATATTCATTCTCATATTCATGCAAGTATACATTAAGCGGTATTTGTATATTTTTTCAATAGGCTTAGATATGTTCAAACTACCTCTAATTAGCTCGATTTTCAAATTACTACCTATTAATTTTTTTTTGTTTAAATTTCCTGACTATTTTTTTTTTCAATTTAGTACCCGAGTTAGTTCCCCTCTGTTAAATGATGACATGGCTGACAGAATGTCACGTCATCACCCAATAGTGTATGTCATGTCAGCTAGATGTACACCTCACTTGTCACGTCATTGTCCACGTCATTTTTTAATTTTTCCAAAAAAATTTGTTTCGCACTTATGTTGGAAGTTGACAAACTCAAAAATTGATTCTCTGTTATTCATCTTCAACTTGACGAACTCAAAAATTAATGTTCAAAAATTGTTCCTTTTTGTTCTTCAAAATGTTGAAGTTGTAATTCTGTATCGCTTTCATTTTCATTCTCCGTTTTTGTCATTCATCTCTGTTTTCGTTGTTTTTCATTTAGGAAACGCACATTCTACGCGTTTCTCTGTTCCTTGCGTTTGAAGCATCATTCTTCATTGACCATTCATAGAGGAAAACTATTAAAGGGGTGAGATTTTGTAGCTAGAAATAGACGAAGTTGTTGTCATTGTTGAAGCACAACCAAAGCTGTTTTCGACGAAGCTGTTGTCATTCTCCAATTGAAGGTAAGTGGTTTCATAGGTTATTAGGGTTTATAATTTGATAGGCTTTAACTGTTCTTTTGATGAGGTTTTTGTTGACACAAAGATTTGGTTCCTTTGCAGTTATGCCAATGGCTTTCAAT